TATACATAAACGACATAGATATCGGCATAGACAGCAACATAAGCAAATTTGCTGATGACACTAAAATAGGACGTGTTATTAAATCTGACGAGGACTCCGCAAAACTACAGGAAGATCTAAACAAATTTTTCGAATGGTCTGAAAAATGGCAGATGAAATTCAACGTGGACAAATGTAAAGTACTCAGTATAAGAGATGTAAACAGGGAAACCAGATACCAGATGAACAACTATGCCATAGAGAAATCCGACTGCGAGGGAGATTTAGGAGTAATGATAAGTAGGAACCTTAAGCCAAGTAAACAATGTGTTTTTGCTCGTAACAAGGCTAATAAAGTACTTGGGTTCATACAAAGGAGTGTTAGTTACAAGACTAGCGAGGTCATCCTAAAACTGTATCTTGCTCTTGTGAGACCACACCTGGATTACGCAGTTCAGTTCTGGTCACCGTATTACAGAATGGATATAGAATCCTTGGAAAGAATTCAGAGGAGAATGACAAGACTAATCCCGGGCATGAGGAACCTAGAGTATAGAGACAGGTTAAACTTTAACCGTTACAGCATCTTAATTTGCACTCCCTCGAGAGACGTAGAGCGAGGGCCGACCTGATAGAGGTGTATAAGTGGAAGGCAGGGCTAAACAAAGGGGACATTACAAAGGTACTCAAACTATCCAACCAGGAGCGAACTCGTAACAATGGTTTTAAATTAGACAAATTTAGATTTAGGCGTGAAATAGGTAAACACTGGTTTGGAAACAGAGTAGTGGATGAATGGAACAAGTTACCAAATATCATCATTAACTCGAATACGCTGAATAGCTTCAAACATAGGTTGGAAGGATGTATGAGCAATAGGGGTTGGGTGTAAACGGGACTGCCCAGTATGGGCCAATAGGCCCGCTGCAGTTTCCTCCATTCTTATGTTCTTAAACAGTACAGGTATTCTGTAGAACCTCATGTCCGAGATCTTTGGGACCAAGATCGAATCGGCTTTATTTTCATTTATATTTACCATATTGATTTAAATTTATACCTTATTAAATTAAATTTTATAAGGTTAGGTAGGGCCCTATACAGTGAGAAGCAAATAAATTTGGCATTTATTTCAATAGAAAAATGGAAAAGAGAAAAAAGTGGTGTAGTACACATATTGAGTATCAGAGATTGCACGTGTTAGTATTTTCGATAAATGGAATTTATTTACAAAGATTAACCAGAGTACTAATTATTGACAAAACTAAGTACAGGTCCTTCTTGATCTTAGGTCTACATACACTCGTGACTGTTTATTGACATTCCTGTACAGCTTCAGATCACAGCTAGACAGCTGCATTTAATTAACTTTTTCAATCCCACTCTGGATTGGCGTTAGGAAGGCCATCCAGCCGTAAAACTTAGCCTCAGCATGCTTGATGACAACCGGGTCACCAGACCTGTTCCCATCCCCTGGTCTCTGCTGCATTTTCTGGGCTAGCGCCTTGGGTTTACTGTGTGTGGAGGGGGGGGGGGACCGTCTCGTTCAGGTTTTACCCAACAGCTGTCGCTAGGTAATCGCAGCTAACCCACGTAAGCGTGTAAAATGGTCGTAAACGTATGGTAGGTGCTGATGAATCGCTCTCCTCATCTGGGGGGGGGGAGGGGGAGGACAAATGAACCTGAACTTGACGGGTCACATGCAAGTATGCTAGTATCTTACTCCTCCTTACAATGTTTAGTTAACCTATCAGGTTTCTCAGGTTTATTTACTGTATATTTTATGAAGTTAATGTTTGAATTAAGCAAAGATTTTAATCTAGTTAAAAGTGAATTCAAACAGGACAATTATTTTCGAAATTATGCTAAATACATAACATTATCAAAACGTCTTCAAAATTATGCATTTGCTGTAAATGTATCTTAGTAAAGTTTACTACCATGTTTGTTTTCAATCCTTGCCCCCCCACCTCCCATAGGAAACCCTATGTGGACCTCATAAAAATCTTTAAAGGTTAGTCTCAATTTATGGAGAAAAAAAAACACGCTCTGAATTTAAATTAACTGGACAAAATCGAATAGGTGACGATGATTGATATTAAGAAGGAATAATGCATTTTGTCTGTGAGAGACAAAATCAGCAAGCAACTGAGGGAGCAACACTTCTAGTCGACTGTAATCAAAACGCCGTAATAACATGACTTGGATGACTTGATAACATGACTTGGTTCACTGATAATATGACTTGGTTCACTGATAACATTACTTGGTTCACTGATAACATCACTTGGTTCACTGATAACATGGTTTAGTTCACTCGGTGGCTTCGTAAATATGGCCACCAAACCATAGAACCCTGACATGGACGCTGAACCAAATACTTGTATACTAATAAATTTTCTACCGGTATTTAATGTTGCAAAACTGCTGTGGTGAAGACCATTAGAAAAATAATTGTAAAGATGAAATTCAAAGGGATTACGAACAACATACAGAACTTAATGATACAGTACAGTATGTGGGAAAGGGTTTGTTACAAGGTTAAAGCATCGTTTCTTATAATCCCAGGTGCACCTTGTAGTTAAAAGCATCGTGTATTACCGTCAAGAAAGCATAAAAAGATCGTATTTATAATGTGCATACATGGTGAATTAGTATTAGTTTTTGGTGATTATGATCATAGTTGATTCTATATCATGTTCTTTCTTGGCTGTGTGTAAAGATTTAACTTGGTACATTCAGTAATCATTTGTTGTTTATATTTATAGTACAGTAGACTTTATACATGAGGCAACTCTGCAGACTCATTGTACCCCAGCTGTAGGTATGTCAATGACTATATTTAATTGTCTTTTAGATATTACATTATAGGTTTGTGTTTATAATTATGCTGTTGGACTCCCCACCACCCCCCAGTTGGGGGTACCTTTACTGTCACTGCGGCGTGCTGTGCCACATGTACTGTACCGAGGCGAGGAACATTTATTTGGGCAATTGTTTAAAGTACAGTAAATGTTGAATTGATATTAAATTGTTTGACGATTTTATTGAATAAATATCTATGTTACTGTATCTGTATACAGTATTTATTTACCTGGCAGTGTCTGTCAACCTAAGGCCAAGTTAGTTAGTGTCTTTTATGTTACAATGGAACTGTGTGTGGCTCTGGATTAATATAACTCCATGATTATGTGTTCTTTTAAATTAAATACATAACACTGCACTGTACATGTAGTTGTTTGTTCTACTCCAGCCTTTTGAGTTACTCTTTACATTTAATATAGACATTTAAAACATGAAATTGCGTCGATTTATTTCAGATAATTGCATTAATAAACCATTATTCTATAAGAAAACTTGGTGAAAACCGGGTTGGAGCTAGTGCTTTATCGGACCTATTGGACGAGTGATCAAATAAAGGTTAAAATCTAGGTCTAGCATCGATACAAATAGTCCCACAGATTTTGTTTTTCTTGAAAATTATATGCACAAAGCATTGTGGCACTCTACTTGGTTTTGCATGTAGCAGCAACATTCTTCACCTGGACCAGTACAGGATATCCTCTGATGTTGCCACACATGCTCGCCGCTAGTATCCATCCCCTCTACTGAGAATGCCAGTCTTAAATCAGCCAACCTTCAAATTCCAACAATAGTTTGTATCACTTTCATCATTGCTTTGTACAGTTTTCCTAGTATTTTGAGCAGGATTTCCATCTACTCTGAGAAAAAACTTAATGTTCAGCTTATTGTGAATAAACAGATTAGGGATTCAAAACGCCACTTATAAGATGCTAAATGATTAGTTGATATATGCGTGTTTACGATTATACAGTAGCATGATTGGTCGTCCGTAATTAACCTCAGTACTCTTGTCAAAATGTTGGTAGCTTCATTGTATGAATTCACAGAGTACGTGCTTGTATTTCCTGGTGGAAAATATAAATACTCTATACAGTATATCTTCATTTCAGGGTCATTGATTTGTGTAGATGAGGGTTTTCTATTTTTTCAAATCTAAATTATTGTATCCCTAATAATCTCGTTTTTAAGTAACTTGGTTAATTTCGATAAAGAGCAACATGAAAAGCTTTTAATAAGCCAAGTGTTGTTTTCATAATTGTCGTAAGCAAATAATGGCTGTGCTGGTGGTCATGTAGGTGAACAACGGTATACCAGGAAGTGAGATATGACGAGAAACGTTGCGTGAGTGTGTGGGTTGTGGTGGGTATTGTAACACGACGGGAACCTCCTTGTGTGAATCATTTGACCCGCTCCAGCCTACCAAGGCTAAGCACCCTCACTATTTTTTTTTTTTTTTTTACGAAGTGTTTGTAAGCATATATTGGTAGGTCATAAACAGTACAGTATATGTTTCAGAAACACTTCTGATTACAGTACAGTATACCTACAGTATTTACTGTACTTCTCATGCATGTGAAGCTTAAATATTCTCGTACAACTTGATGTTGCACCGTAATAGATGAATTAGAAAAGGAAACTCCCTGTATCAAGATTTTTTTTAACAATTGTATTTTACCAAACAATTTGCCTGCTTGAATACTTACGATTCTTTGGAGTACTGTACAGTTCTTGAGTGATTCATAAACCTTTTTAAGACATTGGCTCCCTTGTTCTATTTTCCCACCTGAGCTTTTTCAGATTTATAAATTTGTCGTTTTTGTTTCTTAATTTTTTTCTATTTCAGTCAGGTACTGCCTCAATACTCTACCTATTATGTTGTCAGTCAACACCTAATAATAAGTTGTCAGTAATTTTTATTACACCTACAATTTTTAGCTGAACTTTCTTATTTCAGAAAATTTATATATATTAAATATTCCAATTATTTTAAGTCATAATTAGATATATAAAGGATATGTAGAAGTGTATTCTAAAGTTTGTGGATCATAACTCCAAAAATGTAAGTGTTAAGTGATTTTAACATAGCTTCTGTTGTGTATTTTTGTATGAAACATATAAACTTACCATAGCATTTATAATATTATTTAATTTTCTTTCAGGGCTATCAAGGCATTTCAACAAGTATTGTACATCGAGCCTGGGTTCAGCCGAGCCAATGAAGTTCATCTGCGCTTGGGGTTAATGTTCAAAGTCCAGAGTGACTATGAATCATCATTGAAACACTTCCAGTCAGCATTAATTGATGCTGGTCCAGCATCATTTTCCAAACTTGAAAGTAAGTTATGAATAAAAGTTGTATTTTTTTTAGTTTGGTTTATTTAGAAGGTAAATGAGATACACAATAACACACTTACTAAGCAATAACCATATTACTGTATACAGTACTGTTATTTCAATAGTGCTATACAGTATTTATTTGTGCTTTAACTTTGTTCTCGAGGATAACACAAGAGGGACCTTTTCGTCTTGTAAATGTGGTTAACAAAATATGCGTGGAGTGAGTTTAATGCAATAGTTTACATAACAAAAGTGTGGAATGTGTATCATTATAATAGTCTATTATGTAATGAAATAAATGTGGAATGTGTAAAATATTCTACACAACAATATAAAAGTGGAAAGTACTGTGGTCTATGTAAAAGAATATTTCCTAGTCATTTGGATTTGTAAATTAAAGTGTTATGTCAGTGAGTCAAACTAAATACTGTAGTACCAAAACTTTGATTCAAAATTTTTCTGTACTGTACTGTACAGATGTAATTTAACGTGCTTCATAGCTGGATGGCCGAGTTCTTGATAATACTATCATAGCACTATCATAATGACATCTACTTTTGGTAAATTTCTTTAACCTGCCTTGATGAACCCTGGAAGAAGTTGTCCAACCTTCTTGGCTGATCGACTCTGCAAATAAATATTATTAGATAATTAATTGTGCTTTACTGTGCAACACAGAAATGCTATATTGAATATAAGTATATAAATATTACTAAGCACATTAACTACAGTCTCTCCTCAACTAACAACAACCCGGACATATGACGGCCATGGTCGTATAAAATATTTTTCACATTACGTATTTTGAGTCCCGGCATTAGTGATCGTGCTGTGTAATGACAAGATTTTCGTTTGCAATTCCCTTTAAAATGGCTGACAAGCGTAAAAGTGAGAGTTCTCGTGGTGCTGAGAAGAAAAGGACACCCATTTTAGAATTTCTATGTATTATTTTCGACTTACGACCTGGTTGTCGGGACGGAATCCCCATCGTAAGTCGAGGAGAGACTGTAATTCAATGGATATTAGCTGTCCCTACTACAAATTTCATAGTATAAACATTCCAAACATTATTGGTATTATTTTGGTTTTGGTCATCTGGGGAACCTTAAAATTCTAACTATGGGATTAAGTACTTTCAACAATAAAACAAATTATCTCTACGGGATTTAAGTCACAAAACATTTTTCGATCGCATAAAAAATACATATCATAGATTAGGTTAGGGTATGATGAATTATAAGGTTAGCTTAACATACATTGGTAAGAAATGAAGATCTAAATCGTTCATAACACATCGCAAACCATCGGAAAAAACAAAGTCTGCATATCTAAGTACAGGGATGACCAAAATTTAAAATTTACCCAATATAGCCTATCTCAAATCTAAACATCCAAATACTTATGGTAGTTAAAGTAAAATATTACCCATTAATTAATATAAATGATGATGTATCCCAGTGGTTCATTAGTGAATCATCAAAACAATAACAGCACTATGTTGTCATGTTTACCTAGCATCAGCCATTCTCAAAACAAAGTCCAGACAATGTCATTACTTCTAAATTGACTTGTATCTCCGTGACAGCTGAGCTGGTGTGAACATGGGAATTTTTTTTTTCCATAAGAACATAAGAATGGAGGAAACTGCAGCAGGCCTATTGGCCCATACTGGGCAGTCCCATTTACACCCAACCCCTATCGCTCATATATCCATCCAACCTATGTTTGAAGCAGTTATTCACGGCACATTTCTTCTGACGAAATGTCCATGACTTAGACCATAAAAAAAATCGCCCTTAAAACTTACCTGAATGTGGCATTTGTGGTCTAAAGAGGCCACCTTTGTACTACCTCCAACTGCAGCGGTGAGTTTGATAGAGAGTGTCGTCTGCTGGGAAACTAGTGACGTCATTGTAAATGGTAGCCCTGTTTCTAGAGAAATAAACTTATCTCTACTATTATAGCAGGACTTTAAACTGTTTTTTACAAATTATACATACCGTATCACTCTACGAACATGGAAGAGTGTATTTCTTCTGTTACCCAGAACCGTCAACTCGTCCATTATTAGACATTGAAAGTTCTGTACTGTACTATATTTGTTAAAGCATACCATACACATCACAAAGACTGATTATATTTCCATATATGAATTTTATGCTTACATTATTGTTTTCTTCCAGTCCAGTTCCATGTAGCTCACCTGTATGAGCTTCAAAACAAGCACAGAGCTGCTCGGGAAGCATATGAGAACTTGCTAAAAGAATCGGACCTTCCCAATCATCTCCGTGCAGATATACAACGTCAGCTAGGATGGATGTACCATACTGTTGAAAGTTTGGGAGAGAAATCGTACAGAGAAAACACTGCCTTACAGTATCTTCAAAAGTCTATTGAGGCTGACCCCAAAAGTGGACAGAGCCTGTACCTGCTTGGTCGTTGTTACTCTGCCCTTGGAAAAGTTCATGATGCATTTATTGCTTACAGAAATTCAGTTGACAAGTGTGAGGGCAATGCAGACACTTGGTGTTCAATAGGGTAAGTGGACATTTATTTGCCTCTTATACCAAGGGATTAGTTATTCATAGAGAACTTTAATACGGTTTAGATTTACTGTACTGAGAGACGTTTCAAAACTTTTTCTTGTCTGAAATCTTTCATCTTTTGAAGCTATCATTTTTTATCAGTAATCAGCGATATACAAATAAAATGAAAGGAGAAACACTGTAGTTTACCACAGCCATGGCGATACTGTACAGTACTAGAACATCATACTGTGTTAGGAGACCTTGATAGAAATAAAGAATTTGGATATACCCTACATACATGAGTCATTTAAAGATTGTAACCATATGCTACAAAAAGTTTTAAAAAATTTATACATTTAAATGAGATAAGGTTAAAGAAAAAGATAAAGTAGTTATTGACAGATGGTGAGTAAGAGGGAGACTTGTGACTTCAGATGCTCATGTATACTGTAATGGTTAGTGGGAGTGTATCAATATACTGTATTAAGAAATGTAACAGTGTTGAGAGTAAGGGGTAAAATGTATGGCCATGGATTATGGAATTTGAAGGAGCATGGTAAAGGGGAAAGAAGGATTTCTGAAGTGGCCGGGCCAACTGAAACAATTGATCCTGCTTTATCTTAGTGACAGTTCCTTTCTTCTTTTAGTGATGGGTTAAGTGAGTGCTTATTTTGAGAGAACTGTACTTGTTTTTATAGTTCTATGATATCCAAATCGATGACTTGTTTGCCTTTTGTGTAGGGAAATGTATACAGTATGTATAATTATTGGCCTTTGTGTCAAAATTTTAACTATAAAAGAAGAGAGAGAATTTAAATGTATCAAACATCATTAAGGTGCTTTTACATATTTTAATGTTTTTTAGCAGAACTGTGTAAAAGATAAGGACATAAGATATTGGTATTCAAAATTCAATCAATAAAAAGTAGGGTTTAACCCTTCTGGTCCATTAAAGGTTTTATAAAGTACTGTAGTTTAAAAAAAAAAGTTTTGGCCAAAGGTATTGTGCAGTGGTTTCATAGTCATTATCAATCCTTCACACTTGTTGGCATCCCCTTGCATTATCAGAGACTGCCCAATGACTTTCCTCATTGTTTTCCAGTCCATTAAATCTTGCTCAGTCAAATGATTGTTTATGTTCAATTGATCAATGTTCAACTTATATAAATTTAGTGTAGAATATGAATAATCTTTGCATTTTGTAGTAAGAACCCCCCTCCCCCCAAAAAAGCATTAGAAAATAACCAAAATACTCTAGTTGTTTAAAGTATGGGTATTTTCTGCAGTGAAATTATAATATCTGGAGGTAGAACCATATTCACATTTCATGAATACTATTATACTACAAAAGAACATCATATTGTTGCACTATGAAAGTTGGGCATAAAAAAGCTTTCTTTACAGCCACAAAAAGTTAAACTTACAGTGCTTGGCCAATCTTTCTTTAACAGTAATATTATTTTTCTTAAATAATCATGACAGATGAGAATAATAATATAATAGATGTATGAATAATGAAGAATATCACAGTGAAGATTGAATAATTGATCTTTCTAACTCCATCTGAATATGCAGTAACACCTGTTTTGAATCATTTATGGTGGCAGATGGAAATGGGGTCATTTCATCATTGGAAGACACTATTCTGTCTTCAGGAAATTTTAAATGTACAATGACATCATACAACTAGCCTAAACACATATTTTATAGAGTATTGTAGGTGGAGAGAAGCTTAACCAACAAATTGTGAACTCTGCATTAATGAAGATATACTATGCTCATCTGATATATATGCATGCACACTGTGTATGCCCATACAAGGTATACTTTTAGCTACTGTAATATGATAAAGCTCTCATTCTAATGTTTGTGGTAAAAATGCTGTTGATATATTATTATTATTATTATTTTTTACAGAGTGTTATACCAGCAACAAAATCAGCCAATTGATGCATTACAAGCATATATTTGTGCAGTGCAATATGACAAAGGGCACACTGCAGCATGGACTAATCTAGGCATACTATATGAAACGTGCAATCAACCACGTGATGCTCTAGCCTGCTATATGAATGCAACACGTGGTAGCAACAAACCTGTAAACCCCAACCTTGCGCCACGCATAAAATTTCTCCAGCAGCAACTGGCAAATGCTCCCATGCCGAGTGCAATTAACAAGCCTCGGCAACTGCTGAGCATTGAGGAGGCCTGGAACCTACCTGTCACAACAGACATGTCCAACAGGCAGCAACAGAGCCAGAGCCAGCAGGTGTCTGGTCAGCAAAGGGCACTAGGTGCTGGGGCTAGCAGTTTCCAAAAGTATGGCCAACAGTTTGGACCTACTGGGTCCACAGGACCACCACCACCATATCCAGCCCCAGGTAATGATGCCAAGCGGTTCAAACCTGATTTGGCTGGAGATCAGCAGCGACCGCACTTCTACCTCAATCAACAACAAATGCAGGTGTTGCATTATCAGCAACAGAACCAAGCAAACTTAACTCCACAGCAACAACAACAACTTCAACAGTTACAACAGAACTACCGTCTCATGCAACAGCACCAGATGAAAATGCATCAACAACAGCAGTTACAACAACAACAGCAGCAACAACAACAGACAGGTGTGCAGGGTCCACAAGTATCCCCAAGCCTTGCTCAGCCTCCTGGTTTTGTTCAAGGTGGTCAAATGGCTCGTCCAGGACAACCAACTGGTGTTACAAGCTATACACAACCAGCAACAAATGGTGTAAACAGAGGATTTGTTACCCAGAGACCTCAGACACCAACTACCAATTACGGTCAGACTAATCAGGCCTATTCACAACCCTCATCTACTGGTGGATACATTACCCAAACTCCATCATATACTAATGGAGGAGTTCCAACAACTTCTGCTAGTTATGGTTTCAATAATGGCTACAATAACAGTAACTTGAATGAGGCATTACCCAAAGACCTGAGTGGCATTACACCAGAGACCACAGTTAGTGATCAAGAACTCCAGGAGCTAAAGGAGCTTATTAGCCAAAGGGAATTTACCACATCACTTGCAGAAGATTTATTAAATCGCTTAGCGCAGGGGGAAGATGTAATTGATGAGTTAGCAAAGGCAAGTGATGTTGGCCCAGAAGTAGTCTTGCCTAATACCCAGTTCTCCACAACAGCCACCTCTCCATCCACAACATCTGCCCCAACCACTGCATCTGCTTCTGCTACGTTACAGTCTGGAGTTGCATATATCAAGCAAGAAATGACCGATAATAAGCTGACAACTCAAAGCATTTTGTCTGAAACTAAACCTCGTTTGAGCAATATGAGGCTTTGTGAAATTAAAGTTGAGCCAACAACTGAACCTGTATTCTCAATCACCATGAATAGTTCTGATATCATCGGTGGATGTAAAGGTCGAGGAGCCAGTGCCCGAAACTCGAGTATGATATCGGATAAACAGTTACCCCCAGCATTGCCAGAACCTCCAAAAGTAAAGCTGAATAAAGAACAGCTTCTACCTAATACACCTTCAGTACTTTTAGACAACAAAAAGCTAGCTTTCTCACCGCAATTGCAAGAATTCTGTCTACAGCATCCAATAGCTGTTGTGAGAGGTTTAGCCTCTGCACTTAAATTAGATTTGGGTCTTTTTTCTACTAAAACTTTAGTTGAAGTAAATCCAGAACATACAGTTGAAGTTCGAACTCAAATGAAGCAAGATGCGGACGAAAACCTTGATTTAGGAACTGAAACTAAAATTTGGCCTTGTGCCAGTCATCGTTCCCATACCACGGTCGCCAAATATGCCCAATATCAGGCATCCAGTTTCCAGGAGAGCTTAAAAGAAGAACAGGATCGTATTGCAGCAGGTGCACCAAAGACTGATGATTCTAAAAAGAAGAAAACCCAAAAAATGATAAAGTTTGGCACAAATGTTGACTTATCTGATGAAAAGAAGTGGCGAGCACAATTACAAGAATTGATGAAGTTACCAGCATTTGCACGTGTTGTCTCTGCAGGAAACATGTTGTCACATGTTGGGCACTCAATCCTTGGCATGAACACTGTACAGCTTTATATGAAGGTAAACATTTGCAAGTTAATAATTTTTTGGTGAAATTGTATCATGATAAGATATAAAATGTTCTGCATGTTGTTATTGAAGGATTATTAATGAAACACTTCAAAACATACCATACTTCAACATCAGCTGATTTGGCTGAGGTCACAGGGGATCTATAAGGCCTCCTGGTTGGTGGACCAGTCGGTTGAAGACACCAGGACGGTCCATATGTTTTATAATTTTGGAGACATTGATTCAATTAATTTCTTCACTTTAAAGTAAAATACAGTATTGCTTTTTTATCATATTGTAATTTGTTTGGAATTGAATTAATACAAGCCAATCATTTGGATTTTTTTACCAAACTTTTTAATCAGCATTTGGTACTTATTGACAGCCTGTATAAAGTAGGAAAATAATCTGTAGTGCTAATTTACGAATCATGATTTCCAGGTTCCTGGTTCAAGAACACCAGGTCACCAAGAAAATAATAATTTTTGCTCCATAAATATCAATATTGGACCAGGAGATTGTGAGTGGTTTGGTGTCCCTGATGCTTATTGGGGAGTTATTGCCAACCTTTGTGATAGGTAAGTTATTTTTTATTCCCTTTTCAGATGTTGAAGGGGCTGTTTATGTAAAATTATTTCATCTTGATAAATTTTCAATTTTGTAAAATCAGAAAAATGTTTAATTCTTAAGTAAGATATTTTAACCCTCCTGATCATGGAATTTCACTATAAAAAAATGATAATAGTAATAGACAGGTGCTCCTCTATTTATGAACTACAGTAGTTATGTTTCTGAGGCATGTTCATAAGTCCAACTTTTGTATGTACCAAACACACTGTACAGTATTGTAAAACATGAATAATTTAAGGATGGACAGTACAGCTATAGCCCAGTAATAAATATAGCATGCACATTACTGGAGCTTATATTAATTTTGTAGGTAACTGTGTTTAGGACTCGCAGTTCAAACAGTACGGTAAATTGGGGTTATTGGGTCAGTTTTTTTTTTTAAGATTACAAAAAAGACATGCTGTACAATTCTGAGTTTTATATCAACATTGAGTAAGATCGTGCTGGAGCTGTGCATGATATAAAGGAAATCAAAATATCTTTCACAGTAAATGAACAAGACACTAAGTAAGATCTGGGCCCATTTCCCCCACAAAATGGGGCTAATGGGACTAGAGGTCAAAATATGTGTTTTAAAGTAGCAAATATGAAACAAATGGTTCCAGAAAAACATAAAATATGTTACAGTAGAATATTTTTAATTCCGTAAGCTATAAATAAGGTTTAGTATAACAGGAAACACACAATAATCTTTTCTGATAGTTGGCTTTGTTAATTTCTTAATAATGTCTTCAGTTTCATAAATACAGGTGTCCCCCTATTTACAATGTGGTTAGGTTCCTGAAAAGCCCATCACAGGTCAAAATATCATAAATCAAGAGCATTATAATGTGGGGTTCAATGAGATACATCCTCAGCCAGTCGAATACCCACATGCATCACTGAAAAAAAAAATCGTTCCCTAATAATATGCCTCCAACACAAACAACACTCGTCATATCATTAAGAACTCTTGAAGGTGGGGTGTCTCCTGCTGCTTCAGTGTCACGCTTCACTTCCAGAGACACAGTTTTCCTGGGTGCCTTGGCCTTCCCAGACATTTTCTAAGTTATACTGCTCACTGTACAGACACTGAAACAGAGCAAATGTACTTGTCACAAAAACAGAGCAAATGATGATAACTATTGCGGTCGACATTGCTCACATCATGTTCACAACAACAGCTACAAAGCACTTTACAGTCAGTCAATAAAACAGAATACAATGTCACTGTACAGCAAGGTGAAAAAAAATCGATGATAAATAACACCAATACCTGTAATACCTTGGAATGGTAACTACTGTATATGTTTGCATGAACACATTACGCATACATACTATCATGCTTCTGAATGCACAGGTGTATAGCTGTACTTTCTCTCTGTTTAGTTATTACTTAAATGTGTATAAATGGTGTAAGTGAAACAATACATAAATGGTTCAGAATTTAATGGGAAGTTTCAATAAATTGTATGCAGCAGTAGAGAAGGGAGATATAAATTACCTTTTCCTCTTTTTTTTTAGGATTTTTCATAACAAGACCTTGTTGCAAAAGTTGCTTTCCACATTATGAAAAGTTGTTATTCACCAAACTAATACTATATATATTTTGCTCTTCATACAGAAATGGAACAAATTATCTTCATGGATCATGGTGGCCAGATTTACAAGAGCTGTATGAAGAAAATGTTCCTGTGTATCGTTTTCATCAGAAACCAGGAGACATGGTCTGGGTTAATTCAGGTAAGTGCAAGTCTTTGTCAGTTCCTCTTCTTTCCTAAATTGTATTCACCCTTACCATCTTAAGTATGTTTCTCCTTTTGTTCCTGTTTTTAATTGAGATATCTCTTGTTGAAGGATATGGTATACTAATTTCAAATTAATACCATCACATCTTTTGTTCAGTGTTTTGTTGATTATGTGTACTATAGTTTTCTTCAAAAATGCTCTTCTGCTTTTTTTTGTCATGTCACCTAATGTGACTTGCTGTGTTCTCTGTAGGGTGTGTTCACTGGGTCCAAGCTGTAGGTTGGTGCAACAACATTGCCTGGAATGTGGGACCTCTTACTGCACGCCAATATTCTTTGGCATTGGAGCGCTATGAGTGGAATAAACTACAGAGCTTCAAGTCCATTGTGCCTCTCATTCATCTCTCTTGGAATTTGGCCAGAAATATCAAAGTTTCTGATCCCAAGCTCTTTGAATCAATCAAGTAAGTCATAGCATACTGTGGTAGTTGTTTTGAATATACTGTACAATATTTATTTGACTGATATGTTGTGTTAACTTCTATGATGGAATGAAACCAAGTAATATCAGAGTCAAGATCTTCTGTCAGCCACAGAATTACACCTAGATTTAGAGTTCCTATAATATTACTGTCATTCATGTTTATCTGCATAATTTATTTAAACTCATCATACATTTCAAAGAAGCTAAATAAAACTAAATTGTAAACATTTTGCATTCACTATTGTCTTTTGAAATTAAGATGTTATGTAGGAGTGAAGAAAAACCCAATTCTCAAATGTCATAATACTTTTCCTTGCTAATTTTGTTAGTTTTGCCTCAGCTGAAACACTTCATTCTTGCATAGACCTTTCCACTCATCATTCTAATATTTTCATATATTCTCTACTCATTCCAGTACATGCTACAGTACTTACTCACAAATAATATATACAATCTACATCATGTAAAGTTTGTAACAAGATGTATTAATTGAGATTTTCTCTTGTAGGGGCTGTCTAATGCGTTCACTTCGTCAAGTCTGCTTATCTTTAGATTTTGTCAAGATGTGTGGCTTGGATATTAAGTTCCATGGACGCACTCGCACTGATGCATCTCACTACTGTGGTGTTTGTGAGATTGAGGTTAGTAGAAGATAATTTGAATACAGTGGAATCTGAATAAAGTGTTAGTGTTTTCATCACAGTCAACTGAATCATGGCAGTTTTATTGGGAAATTTTTTTCAATCGCCACATAACTAGATTCATAAATTTTTTTATGACTTGGAAAAAATGCAGCATTTTCACTACTTGTAGGAAATATGATATGGCATAAAAGATTTGTAATCAGTTTACTCATCCCTCAATTTGCAGTCTCACAGTTGCTTGGTCCCTTTTTAACTCCAAAAATTTTCAGTTTTCGGGGAATAGGATAGTATAATTAACAGTTACATTTCAAATCTTGTCAAGGATCACTAAGAAGCCAGTTCAAGCTAGAGAGTGATGTACTGTACTCTGTAAATACCACTTCACAGTGTTCTTTAAAAATAACTCACAATAATCCAATCATTCCAAAAGATAAGCATGGAAATTAATTTATTTTCTAATTCCATGTTTCACTGCTGTAGATAAAGCAGAAAGTATTATACTATCTCTCAAGCAACTGGAGTCGTAAAAAACAACTTAAAATGGCAAAGTCTAGATGTAATTCATGTTGTGCAGCTTCTGGATCTATTATCTATATATTTGGTAAAGGAAATTTGTTAGTATTAGATAGGACTACTGTACCAATTTTTTTTACAACATAGGATTAACTCAAAACATTCTAATTTGATCCTATATAATTTATGTGGATAAAGGATTTTATGAGGGGAAATAGTACAGTACAGTTGTCACAATTATGGGTATGAAAAGTAATATTTTATTTCAATACCTTTTACAATTAAAGTGATAAAACCAAAATCTTTTTAAGATGCTTGTTACTAGACTATACAGTACATGACTTCCATAATATATCATGGCATTTTAGGTATATGTAAAAAGTGTTACTGTATTAAATACCTTAAACAACTTAAAGTAATGAATCAAAGATTGTCACCATACCTGACAGTGACCATTGAAACTTTCATGCATTTCCACCACAACTTGGTGTTGCGAGTGGCATACTTGGTATACATGAACCCAGAATAACGAAGGATTGGAAGCTATTCCATTTTATTCATTGTTAAATCTATTTATTATAATGAAGTTCCCGATAACGAAGTGGATTTCATGAACATATCCGCTTCATTGCGAGTGGTATACTGTATACATCCACTTTATCTCACATTGCACAAGGGACTCGGGAACCTTAAAAAAAAATCTTCTGTAGCTCTGAAGTATTCTAGAATCTAGAACCTTGTGTACATCTATTAATATTTTAAATAAAAAAAAAACTGAATTTCCTGAAAATATATCTTAAGTTTGATAATTTTACTTTTAACTAATTTATTAAGAGTTTAAATAAGTCAATGTGGCTGTTGTTTTGAACAGTTGTGCCTCCCTGTTCATCTGTATGTCTGAATAACGGATTCCGTCCGATTAACATCATTGCTGTGGCTTAATTTGTCCGATACTAGGGTTTTTACTGTATAATTGTGTGTACCTTTGTCCTGTAATTCCTGTTCATCTTCAGATTTTTATTCAATCAAACTTTTATAAGAGACTATTTTTTAATTTTAAATTTTACAGGTATTTAATGTGCTTTTTGTCAAAGAACAAGAGAGACGACACGTGGTACACTGCATTGACTGTGCACGGCGTCAAGCCCCCCGCCTTGAAGGCTTTGTTGTGTTGGAGGAATACCATATGAATGACCTTTGCCAGGTTTATGACAACTTTGTTTTGCACTCAGTAAGTATGATAATGAAAGTTTGTTATATTATCCAAAACATTGCTATAATGGTAAATATTTCAAAGGTGAAAACAATCCTTGTGAGATAATATCTGATATCACTTCACTGTTGCTTGACTATATGAGCAATGTGTTAAATACACAGTAGTTGTAAACTACCTAAATTATTGTACTACATCAGTTGTAGTTTTGCAGTAAGGTTATAATTATATTATTTATTTTAAAGGAAAAGAGGATTGATACTGTTGATTTTCCTCATTCCGTGCTATCCACTAGTTCATTATTATTAATTTCAGGTTCAGGGACAGACGTTACCAGGCCAAGCACCAACCCCACCCCCTACCTCCTCAACTCCAACCCCCCTTACGTGACCTAGCCCAGTCCTAGTGGCCACTCCATTGTGTTCATTGTGACAAGGGGTGGTTCCTAGCCACACAGGATATATCTCTTGTGAAGAATATGACTGTCTATGCTCTACCTGTACTGTGCCAGCATTCGTACATGGGTGGAGAAGCACATCTACAAGAGACGGCAAATGTTAGTGAGCAGCAGTGTGTTACTGTAGAAAGACAAAGTGATTTGCTGCAAGTAGCATTAAGTTATTAATAAGAATTTACGTCACTGCCAGTGCACCTTCCAGAGGCCTTTTCTATTATTGACTCCTTGTAGTCACGGTGGCCGTATTTTTCACACCCTAATTCTTGGAAGTTATTGCAGTGAAAAAATGGGCATTATGAAAAAATGCTGCCGAGACATTGAGTGAATGGAGAAAATGTGTGAACTGTGTGATTGTTGAAAAGAAGCACCTAGAAAGTGTGCTTTATGTGCTGCCACTCTCCAAGGCATAATGATAATGATCTCATAGAACTCAAGGACACAGGGAAGCAAGCATCGCTGACATTTGGAGAGTGTTTTGGGCATGTTTGTGTGTGTGTGTGGTGGTTCAATGATGGACTTGCAATTGTGCCAGGACTAAAGCGCAGGAACCACCATGTCATTTCCTCATGGTAATAATAGTGGTTGCCAAGATGGTTAACAGCCAGTGCTGAATTAGCTGTAGTCGGGGTAGTAGAAATTGCGTGTGGTTGATGGTATGGTACTACCCAGTCTTAATTTATTAGCCTTGCCTACGCATTATGTTCTCCTTCCAAGTTACCAGCCAAAGGGACTGGCCTTAGTTGTAGTTACAGGTGTGTGTGCATTAAAAGGTTTCAAATCACTGCCACAAGAAGTGAGTGTTTTATCTTGTGATAATCTTAACTGCCACAAAATCTACCACTTTGCAAATTCTCACTTAGAGCTTACCCATCTTAAATCTTTCCACATGCATTGTTCTGGATGCTTTGTGATCAGCAGTTTTGTTATGTACAGATACATATATTTTTACTGAATGATTTGGTTACATTAAATAACTCAGTTATAGTATCCCAGCAAGAACCCTAACTCATTATGTCCGTCCATCCCAGTGCATCTTGAAGGAATGACAGATGTATGGACAGATTTTCCTGTTATTGTTTTATTAGTGTTGTCTTCCCCCATCCCTACAGTATTTTACAAATTTATCCATGTGTGTGGTTCAGAATCACTAATCCCATATTTTGGGATTTTTTTGAATGAATGTGCAACTCTAAAATGTTGGGCAGTATGATAATTTTATAGTCATTTCCTTTCTATAGTTGCTGTTTGTTATTTATTTTTTATTTTTTTTTATTGTTGACCTTTCTTTCTTTGTTATCAGTTCTGAATTAACAGATATTTTAGTTTTGACAATTGCTATGCATTTTAAATTGCATTCAGATGTATTTGTTTCCAATTAAGGCTCATGTCAGGTGGAAATGGTGAGCAGTAGGCCCTTCAGACAATATTTTTGGAAATTCTGGAGAAACATAAAGTATGGCAAACTGAGTGCTCAACAAATTGTACCTGAAATGGGCGTGCCTAAGGAAATAAGTTCCACACTAAAGATTTATTATGTCGATGCTGTTGACCGCAAGTCCTTACGATGCCCTCGCATTGTGGAAGGCTGAACAAATAATGTGAGCTCTGAGCTGAGAACTCTTGAACAATATCCATACCAGAAGGCTGTGCACCAAGGATTGAGTCCTTAAACCTCACTTGAGTTCTAGCAATTTCACTTAATTATGAACTTAGTATTGACTGTAGCACATACTGAGTCACCAACAAGCTACACAGTACAAGACAGCTTGCTATTTTTCAAGTGCTGTCTAAGGATTTAGTTCATAACTTCCTCTCCACTCCTCCCTATTGATTCACCCCAAACTTCTTTATTCTGAACTTGTATCATGTATAGTTTTTCATGTGACACATTCTAGTTTGTCCTCAGTATTACACATGGAACATATTCATGCTTTTATAACGAATTCATCTCTCCTTTGTAAGAAAAGTATATATATATTAAAAAAAAAAGGTGTCAGTCACATCAAATTTTCAGCCATGCAGTAGTAAATAGAAATTATGAACTGTATGTTGCTGTAATAAGGGCTTTTTCTATTAGCAGTTTTGTAAATCCAGCACTGTATTGCCTACAGTTAATTTTTATTTATGTTATTTAAAACGTATGGAGTTCTATCTGTATGTAATGTAAAAAGAACACCCTAAGTCTATTCTTCCTCCTCGTGTATGTAAGGTGTTGTCCTGCTCACCTACTAGATGAGCTCGTATACATTTGTACAATTTTGGGAGTAGGGATTTTTTGGCAAAACAGTGGATGTAGTTAATGAGGTGTGGGTGGAGTGGAACATGTTTTAACGATTATTGGGTAGGAGCAGCATGACACTACTACAAACTTTAAAGTGTTTTGCCTAAAGCTCTGAAACATATTAAACCATATCATTGATTTCCATATAAATTCTCATTTTTTGTCACAACTAAATCCATTGTTAGTGACGCAAGCTAATTGGTTAATGAGAGCTTCTCCGCTCACACCTGTTTCAGGGATCTGTGTTGACCTTGTGTCCAATACTGTACAGAGTAAGTCTGCTAATAAAGCCTAACTCACTGGAATGTTGAAGTTTTATTTTTTATTCTGGCCACTAGATAGATAGATATTTTTATTGACCACAAATTATGAATACAGATTTTACACTAAACTTTTACATAAAATGGTCCAAATGCTTTAAAACACCAAACATTAATTAAAGTTCACTGATTCAACCATTAACACAAAAAAAAACATGAAAACCACGAGTAAATAAAGAAAAAAAAACTACAAGTAAAATAAAATAAAACACAAAAAGTTCTGGGTAATGGTATGTCCCTGTGACTTCTAACTACTGTATATACATGAAGTATTAGATGTACTGTACTGCACAACAAAGTTTCATACTTCGTTCTTTCATAAAGCAAATTTACAAAATTTTAAATACTATATTGATGGTGTATATCTATTGTTCAGGGGCACTCTTCAACATCATGCCATTCAGACTGAATAACACCACATGAACACAATCTCTTCATATGGGCAGACGGCCCCTGCCTCGTCTGTTCCAGCGCCCCTCGTCTACAGTGAGGGAATGGGCACTCACTCATTCGTGTCCAAGATACTCATTATAGCTCATTCACCTCTATCTTTGTATTATAGAGTGCATGAATATCAAATCTGGATTGATAGTCTTGTATAATTGTACTGTTTGAGTTTGACAGTTTCTGTTTCAGAGTGTAAAGCTATTTGAACATCATCAATATCATTAAATAAAAGATCGCATACATATAGTGACGTGGGCGTATTAAAACTTGATAAAACATTAATAGTATGGGCAAGTGGATCGTCTACCATTTCACTTCTTCCCGTCCATAACCTCAAGAAAATTTACGCTGCTTAGCTATTATGAGGGCACGCAACGGAATATAATCAAGTTCCACCATGCATAAATCATTGCTGGTCGGTTTCCTGACACCTAATAACTGTTTAATACACCACATGTAAAGTTTATTCACAGGCGTAAAGTTGCCATTTAACTACGATTCACAACCATATAACAAGGCGGACGTCAATGCTACATGAAATACCCTTTTCTTGACATAAAAGGGGATATCATTGTTCTTGTTTACAAATGCAACAAACTTTAGTGGACTACATTTTATCAAGTACAATTTGAATGATTGCGACTTTTCCATCATGTGGTGGACAACACAGTACAGTATAGAAATTAGTGTACAATACTCTAAAGAGTTAGGTGCCATATGGATGCTAATTGGCTTGGTTTATTAACATCAATTGTTGTATATCCAGCTTTTATATTTACAATAATTCCATTTTTATTAATTAATAGTTATGATAATGTGACTTAGTAAATAATAAACAAATTTAATATGGAGTTGGGCTTGGTCAAATTTAGCCTACTAGAGACAGCAACTGGGGAATTCATTAACTCACAGGAGACCGCAACTTCACAAACAGGATGTGGGGTGATTTTTTCGGCCATTTTACAGAAAAAGAGTGTCTTACATGCCGTATAATATAGTACGGTAGGTACCTGTACTTTATAGAATTAAAAGAAAATAGCCAAGTGCTTAAAAGTGAATTTGCTCTCAATGGGGTATTACTGAACAACTGTATGCCTGGAACATTGTAAGAAAAGACTAGGGATTCTCCAGTAATTAATTTCTGACAAGTAAAAACAACCAACATTTGAAAACTTTGTGTACAGTGACCCCTCGGTTAACGAACTCAATCCGTTCCAGAAGGTCGTTCGTTAACCGAAACCATTGTTTCAATGGGTTTTTGGGTAATTGGCTCCAGCTCACCGAAAATTTCCTAAACTCAACAAAAATGGTAGAAAAGTTCACTTACTTTGAGGTGTGTATGTAGAAGGCTCCTGGATGATGATGATGGGATTTAGAATGGGGGTGGAGAAGGAAGAAGAGAAGGCATTGGGGTGGAAGAGAAGTCACCCCATGGTGCCATTTCACCCATAAAATTTTAGCTCTCTTGGTGTAATTCAAGATTATTTTCTTTAAATCAACACTGCACTGCATTATATATTGTCAATATGTAAAATATATTTCAAAATGACCAATAATTTGCTTGGAAACACAGAAAAATAAGCGTTTAGTTGAAGAGAGTCTCAAGCAAGATGTTACCTCCAGTGAAAACAGAGAGAGACTAACGCCTGTTTGCTGTATTAAGAGGCTGGATGCCGCGCATTAAACTAGTCACTTTACCTTCAATTATGTTCAATAATTGTTAAAATGACAAAAAAATTTAATATTAAACTTTTAAAATTATTGAATAGTATAAACTAAATGATATTTACTAAAATAGTAAGGAATTTAAGCCCTAGAACCGATTAATGTATTGGCGGACTGATACTAAAGCTGGTTGCCCGGTCAGTGCAAGCGAAAACATGTTGAGGTCGGTTCGTAAGAAATTCGTTAACCGAATTTTTGTTCGTTAACCGAATTGAAGATCCTTATGGAAGGCAGTTCGTTAAACGAGGGGTCACTGTATAGGATAGACATTAAAGTCTGATTATAAAATACTCCATAAATTTATAAAGTAATAAATTGATATATTAGGTAGGTTTATACTAAACAAAAACAGCTCGTAAAGTAATCCCACACCAACCATTGGTTTACCAATTGCAGTTACAGTACAGTTTGATTATCCAGGAGTACATGTGCTTTGGAATTGCCAAGACGTATAGTTGTTATATGTGTGAAGCAGATACGAACCTACCGTTACTCTGATAGGCCCAGATCTTATGTGTGTTGCGTATGGTCTCCTGCCAAAAAATTCAATTTTGGGGAAATATGCAAGTAATATCCCTGATATCTGGAATCTTTGATTCCCAGAACTTTCCAATAATACAGTTGCAGAAATGTGTTCCTACTCCCCCTGTGGTAACCCATGTCTCCAAATGGCCAACCTATATGACCTAGTCCTACAGTATAGCAAACCTATCCTCCAATCACGCCCATCGTTACACGACCAATACCCATTAATTCATAAATAGTGATACTGTACTACTATTGTGACGTTGCTTTTGGAGACACGGGTTACCGCAGGGGGTGCAGGAACACATTTCAGCAGCTGTACCTGGAAAATAACAGATAAAATTCCCAAAAGCTTACTCGGTTCCAGATATTCAAATAAATTTCTGAGCGATTGCATTATGTGCCAAGAGCATGGGTGGGCTTTGCTGCTTGGAGAACTGCTTGGAGTCATAGGCTCTAAGTGCTCGTGCACTGTGATTGGCTACTACTGTACTGTCATGACTGTCAGGGATGCCTGTGGTAGGTAAACATTGGTTTGGAAATAGAGTAGTGGATAAATGAAACAAGTTACCATACAGTACATCATCATTAACTCGAATATACTGGATAGCTTCAAACAGGTTGGATGGATGTATGAACAATAGGGGTTGGGTGTAAATGGGACTGCCCAGTTTGGGCCAATAGGCCTGCTGCAGTTTCCTCCATTCTTATGTCTTATCTCAAACTCTATGTGCACTTAGTTCATTGTCTGCTGCCACTGTACAAGCTTGTTTGCTCACTTGCTGCTGTTTTTACATACAATCTGTTGCTCAGTACTGTAACAGGATACAACCAGCCAAGAATACTGTTAAAGCAGAATTAAGACAGGAAAAGTGATTACTGTAGTTACATGAACCATACATAAAGTGTGAAGTACCATATATAGCAGTGAATAGTATATGCCTACTGTTAGTACTGTAGGATGTGTGTAGACTGTAGAGGATGCATGTACACAGTATATAGCATGTGTACAATCCCTCCTTCATGGAGGGAAAAGAGTGACAACAACACCTTCTACAGTAGATGGTACAGGACGAAGGCAGGCCATCCTGTATCATAATATCACCATTTGGTCTTCATCACAAGCTAACAGCATCTGCTGATGAGTGCAGTATAGTGTACAGTACAGTAGTATATTTTGATTAACTATACTGTACCAGCACAGTAAAGTTTTCATAAACGAATACAACACTGTGATTGGACAACTGTAGTTAAGCCTCACGGCTAGTATTCAAGCTAGTTGAAGGCATGAAGCTGCCTAACTGCTCACCCCTAGCCTGCACTGCGTCACCTCAGTTACCCCGAGAGATTAGAATGCCTGCAACTGCCTAGCTTATACTAAAGATGGGCAAGCGGCAACCTAAATGAAGTTTATAAACATCTCAGTGAGCACTACTCCATCAAGTGTCCATACCTGGAGCTGCCAGACGCCCGTCCCACAAGGGGTCACAGCTCAAGGTTAATGAAGCCACACGTCCAGAAAATTCTGCAGGCAAACTTTTTGGGAGTGAAAATTGTTAACTCTTGGAACAATCTGCCAGAGTTTTGCAACAGCACCGAGTGTGAGTTCATTCAAGATCAGACATGACCAATATTGGAGCAAGTACAATCTGTAACCCGTGCATGCCCATTACAGTACAGTATGTGAAAAAAGCCATTATCCCGGTCTTGATTGAATTATATTGGCTTCCAATTAAAGCAAGGATAGAGTTCAAACTCTGTCAAATGACTTCTAAGACACTAATGTTTGATGAGACTAAGTATCGGGCCAACCTACTAATTTCACTGACTTCACATTATGAAATGATTTTGCTTAGTAGTGATGGTCTTTCAAGCCTTGAGGTGCCTTGAGCAGTAGGGGAATGTTCTTTTCCTGCTCGATCCTTTTCCTACTCAGTACAGCACCCAGATAATACAATTGGTTGTTTGTATTCATGAAGCAGCTAACTACTGTGTAGGCCTTTAAGAAATAACTTAAGGCCTTTCTTTTTTCAAGATTTATGATCCTGAACAGGTAGGTGATGGGGAATGGACGAGTTGACGGTCGAAATTTTTTCGTAAGATGGCAGGTCAATGGGTAAAGAAAATACTTAAATTCACTATGGTAATGATATTTTTTAAATAAATTCAGGCAAAAAGTGTCAAAAATAAGGGTTAAAGTTGATAAAAAAAAAAAAGCCACGTGACTGCGAAAAGCTCTGTGATTGGTTGTGACATCACTGGTTAGGGTGAGCTTGTAGCGTACTGTTGTGGTAGGTTGTCAAATTCTCTTTATATGGCCTCACAACGTACGTACATGTAATAGGTATATTTAACACTCAGGATTGAGGTAGAATAGAAACTCACAATGCATTTTCTGTATATATATATATATATATATATATATATATATATATATATATATATATATATATATATATATATATATATATATATATATATATATATATATATATATATATATATATATATATATATATATATATATATTGTTGTACAGTGCAGTGCTAAGGAGTTACTAGGTCAGGAGAAGCTTGCTCAGAGATCCTGTTGGGCGAGGAGCTTTCTGAGGGAGAGGGTTGGTGTGGAGCTGTTCAGAGATCTTGCTGGTCCAGTCGCAGAGTGTAGAATGACTTCCCCATCCAGCCGGTCCCGTATTTATATGATTCTGTACCATCAGGAATCGAGGCGCACGTAGCGCGAGAGCCAATCACGGGGGAGAACGCGAAAGGTGTGAAACTCTTTGATCCTGAGCTTGAGGTGGAAGGTTAAGACTAGGTCGGCGATCGTACCCCTACGTCCGCTCTATAGACCTAGTCTCGGCGTAAAGGGTGCTTGTGGTAGAAGCGGTACCGCTCTTGCCTCGCAAGCAAGATGTCACGGGTTCGATTCCTGGGCAAGCGGAAGTTGTTTGGACACTCTTCCTAGCCCCCTTGGTCCCTGTTCACCTAGCAGTAAAGTAGGTACCTGTTGTAAATCGAAAGGTTGCGAATTCGTATTCAGGGAAAGTTGTTGGAGCTTCTAAACTTGAACTAACACAATCCGGAGGAGTGGTGACCCGAGGATCACACACCCAACACAGACAAAACCAAATACGTGTGCTATGCGCTAACCAAATGAACGCAGTCGTGTAAAGCCACGACACTGTCTCTCCCAGTACAATTCCCTTCCTAACCTCCTGCTCCTTCCTCTGTCATCTTCCCCGCTCTGACTTTCGCTACCAACAACTTTTTGGAGCTTCTAAACTTGAACTGTACGCTGATTGGCTGGTAGGCGCGCGGCCGGAGCTCAGTTGGTAGTTGTAGGGGAGAGGATCCACTACAAGCTTCCCAGCGGGAGGCCAGCTGTAGTTGTCCATCCTTCTCGGCTGATCGGCTGTCTATAGATATTATTCAATAATTAATTGTTCTTTACTGTGCAACACAGTTATACTATTTTGAATATATAAATATTACTATGCACATAAACTAATTAAATGGATATTAGCTGCCCATACAACAAATTTCATAGTATAAACATTCCAAACAATAATGGTATTATTTTGGTTTTTGGTCATCTGGGGAACCTTAAAATTCTAACTATGGGATTAAGTATTTTAAACAATAAGACACGTTATCTCTACAGGATTTCTGTCGCAAAACATTTTCAATCGCACAAGAAAATACAGATCATAGGTTAGGTTAGGTAAGGTTATGAAGAGTTATAAGGTTAGCTTAACATACATTGGTAAGGGGGTGGTAACTCAAAACTAGTGATTTCCGATAGAAATGAAGATCTAAATCGTTCATAACACATCGCAAAGCATCAGAAAAAAAAGTCTGCATGTCTAAGTACAGGGATGACCAAAACTTAAAATATACCCAATATAGCCTATCTCAAATCTAAACATCAAAATACTGATGGTAGTTGAAGTAAAATTTTAACCATTAATTAATATAAATGATGATGTATCCCAGTGGTTCATTAGTGAATCAAAACAATAACAGCACAATGTTGTCATGTTTACCTAGCATCAGGCAATCTCAATTTCAATACTTCTAAATTTACTCGCTTCTCCATCTAGTACTGATATACTATGTAAGTTCACTGAAAAAAGATAAAGTCTACCAGGTAAGAGAACATGACAGCTAAGCTGGGGTGAACATGGGAGTTTTTTTAAGTCCCAAAGAAGATAGGAATGAGAAAACTGCAGCGGGCCTATTGGCCCATTTGCACCCAACCCCTATCGCTCATATATCCATCCAACCTGTGTTTGAAGCTGCTCTTCACGACACATTTATTCACTTACGAAATGTCCATGACTTAAACACAAAAAAAACACCCTTAAAACTTACCTGAACGTGGCACTTGGGGCCTGAAGAAGCCATCCTTTCAACTACTTCCCTGCAGTCAGCGGGGAGTGTGGAACTAGTGACGTCATTGCAAATGGCGGCCCTGTTTCTAGAGATATAAACTTACCTCGACTATTATAGCAGGACTTTAAACTTTTAATACAAATTATATATACCGTATCACTCTACGAACGTGGCAGAGTGTATTTCTTGTGTTTGCCCAGAATCGTCAACTCGTCCATTACAGGGTTTAGGAAGTCGAACTGTCACTTTTTGTGATATTTTATTGTAAAGTCGTATTTCAGTGCTACTATAGTATCGGTCTATTGGGTTGGAGTTGGTCTTCTGGTATATTTACACTCGCGTCTATTAACCCAACCTAACCTAAC